AAAAAAAAAAAAAAAAAAAAAAAGAATGAATGCACTGATGGACAGATAGAATGGTGAATGAATGAATGGGTAGACACACAAAGAAATGAGTAACTTGCAGCCCTAAGAGCAGAGCTAAGTGACGGCCACTGGTCAGAACAGGGCTCCCCATCTGCACACACCTGGCCTCCTTCCTTCTCAGGCCAGTCCCTCCCTCTCTGACCCCCAAGTGGCAGACCTGGCTGGCAGGGAATGCAGACGCCATCGGGCCCCCGGATCAGCTCCATGGTGTCCTCGTTGACACGTACCAACCGGATGGGGTACACGGAGGACAGGATGCGGCTGTTGAAGCCACAGGCCCCCACCTGCAAAGGCCAAGACTTGGGCCTGGGCTCTCCCACCGTGGGCCCAAAACTGAACAATGATGGGGAGGTAGGACTCCAGCACCCACACTCTCATGCTGGAACTCTGCCCTCCCCTCTGCATCCAGTGCCTTCCATGGCCATCCATCCCTGCAGTGGCCTTGCCCATCCCCACCCTGGCCGCACCTGGCTGTCAAAGTTGCCCAGGCTGCAGTTGCACTCTGTGGCTCCGTAGAACTCAGCCACCTGGGGTATGTGGAAGCGGCTGGAAAAGTTGGTCCAGATGGACTGCCGGAGCCCATTGCCTAGTGCCATGCGAACCTGGTGCTGGTTTTCCACCTCCCGCGGTGGCTGGTTCAGGAGGTAGCGGCACAGTTCACCAATGTACTGCACAATCTGGGGGTAGACTTGGTGTGATTTCAGACTCCAGAGGCTGCTCTCACTAAACTAGGATTCTCCTGATCCCTCAAGCCCCTACCCTCCCCAGGGGCTGGCAGTGCCATCCTTTCCCTCTCTGGATCTCAGTCTCCCCATTTGAACAATGGGAAAATTGCTGCAAATGAGCCCTTTGGAATGGCTGGCCTCCTCAGCTGTAAGACAGACGCTCAAAGTGTGGTTGGGAAGAGGGTAACAAGGCGACAGGGACAGCTCACTTTTCCCGCTCTTGCTCACCGTGCAGTTGTACTTGACACAATCATCCCAGAACCGGGAGGCTGAGAACTTCCTCCGGATCACCACCGTCATGCCGTGCAGCAGGCACTGCCCGATTCCCACGATGTTTCCTGGAGGCAGAGGGATGGCCCCTGTGGGTCAGGGAGATGAAGAACCTCCCCCGGCCCTAAACCTGTGATACTGCCTTCCAGCCAGGCAGGCCTGCTCTGCCCTGCAGGCTTCTGCACCTCACATCTGCCTGCCTTGGGTGACCTCCTCCAAGAAGCCTCCCTGGCTTCCATCACCAGGCTCTTCCCTCGTGCTGCACTCCTGCTCCCCCAACTCACATATACACCCAACCGTAAGCACCTGGAGGACAGAAGCTATATTTATTCAAGCTCTGTCTCCCCTTAAGCACCTACAAACAAGCAGCAATGCTATGCCTATCTGTGGAAACAAACTGAAATATGAGACAGGCCCAGAGCTCCGTGGGACACTGCCATACACACTGTGAGGCTGATGTGCTTATCCTTTTTTCAATTTAAAACACATTTTTTTAGAGACAGGCCTCACCATGTTGCCCAGGCTAGCCTTAGACTCCCAGGCTCAAGTGATCCTCCTGTCTCAGCTTCCCCAGTAGCTGAGACATAGGCATGTGCACCATGCTTGGCTAATCCTGTTTTATTTTTATTTTTTTATTATTATTTATTTTCTTGACACAGAGTCTTGCCCTGTCACCCAGGCTGGAGTATAGTTCCATGATCTGAGCTTACTGCTACCTCTGACTCCCAGGTTCAAGCAATTCTCATGCCTCAGCCTCCCAAGTAGCTGCGATTACAGATGCATGCCACCACACCCAGCTAATTTTTGTATTTTTAGTAGAGATGGGGTTTTGCCATGCCAGCCAGGCTGGTCTTGAACTCCTGGCTGCAAGTGATCCACCCGGCCATGGCCTCCCAAAGTGCTGGGATCACAGGCATGAGCCACAGTGCCTGGCCCAAAGCTCATGTGTTTCTACTGATTGACAGGGTTGGGGCTCCTAGAGACCTGGGGGTGCTGGAGGCTGAGAGACAGGCCCCGAGTTACCTGCTGAGTGGTAGAGGGGGAGGCAGTCATAGACGATGTCGTCAGGCCGCATTCGAAATCCATAGTACACCAGGGCAGCCATGCGGTAATACCTGGGACAGCACAGGGCCAAAGGGTGGGTGGGTCCTGGAAAGGCAGGAGGAGGATTCCCCAGCTCTACCTGTGCCTACCTCACCCTGGACACCTGCCCCTTACCTGCTGTGCACCACGATGGCGGCCTTGGGCAGCCCTGTGGTACCCGATGTGTAGATGTAGAACAGTTTATCTAAAGAAAACAGATGCAAACGGCTGTAAGGGGGCAGCTCAGGGCTGGGAACAGGGTCACATAGACGGACACCTGCAGGTGTGCCCCCTTCAACACCTGTTCCCATCATACCCTTGCCAGGAAGCCTGTTCTGATGACCTCAGACACCACTCAGCTCTAACTCTGGCATCCACTCAAACAAACATTTCCTGGGCCCTTGCTCTGTGCTAGGCCCTGGGGGGAGAGGCATCAGTGACTAAGATGGCTTAACCCTCCTGGCAGTCACAGCTCAGTGGAACAGTCAGATGAGGACACCGGCAATTCCAATACTAAGCACCAAGTGCCGAGGGAGGGCACAGGACCTGCTGAAACCCAGCAGCCACATTTGGCCCAAGCTTGCAGGAGGGGAGGTGGTGCCAGGTGGGCTTCCCGATGGAGGTGATGCCTGCCCCAAGTCATAGAGCACAGGGAGGCATTAGCTGTAGGAAGTGGGGTGTTGAGGAGGCTTCTGTACTGCTGAGCATTTACTTATCCCACTCTGCAGCCCTGGAGTGGGACTGCCACATTAGAGTTTCTATGCAAGGCTCAGCCCTACCAGGCTAGAGGCTCCCTGGAGGTCAGGAACTCCACAGGAAGACTCCACGTGTTTAGAGCACCTGCCGTGACACCTCACGCTCTCTGGATGCCTGCTGTTTGCCAGCCCTAGGCACTAAGAGGGCACCGGGCAACCCAGCCAGAGTCCCTGACCTCAAGCAGTTGACAAATGTACCCAAGAGACCAGATTTACATACAAGAGAGAAGTTAAACAGTGCTGATGGCAATGACCAGTTACTGAACCTCTCCTGCCACACCCTAGCTTCAGGACTGGCCCCACTGTATTTTTTTCAACCCTCAAAGCTACCCCATAAAGTAGGTTCTGTTACTGTCCCCAGTTTTATGGCTGTGGGAACTGAGGCTCCAAGGGCAGGGCGGGTGTCATGATTCACACGAGGGAAGCAGTAGGGCCAGGATATAAACTGGGATCTGACTTGGCAGCCCAAGCTCTGAGACACCGGGCCATGTGTCTTCATAGGAAAGGGAATGAGAAGAGCAGAAGAACCAGGTAGGCTAGAGATAGAGGAAGAGGGGTGAGAGGCTCAGGAGGCTGCCTGAAGGCGGGGTCTGGGAGGCCGCAGCGCTGGGAGAGGATCACAGCTGGAGATCCTGCAGTGTCCTGCACTGAAGAGGAGCTTGATGAATACTCAACGAGTCTTGCTTCTCACCCACCCTCCCACCCAACCCCAACCAAAGCCCAGACCAGGCAGGTTTCTGGGGTCCAGAGGATTCTGCCCATTAGGCATCAATAAAGGATTGTTCAACAAATCAAAGAACTGGACTTTGTGAGCTCCTGTGTTCTCAGCCCTGTATCTGGCACGGTGACACACATCAGCTCATTTCACCTTCACAGTAACCCTGGAGTGGCCCAGGCTTACTGTCACCATTTTCCAGATGGAAAAAAGGAGGTGACGTGACATGTTCCAGGCACATGGCACATTTCCAGAAAAGCCGCCTTCTGGCACTGAGGCCAGTGCTCTGTCCAGGACCTGTGTGAGAGCCCCTCTGTGGCGGGGGGAGGGAGCCCACCTGTGAAGCCCTTGTCAGGGCAACTGGGCAGGTGCTTGGGAGCATCTTTCAGCAGAGGATCCAGGTGTTCTGTGCTTGTAGGCACTGCACTGGGATCCCAGGAGCCAGAGCAGAAGAGGCTGAGCGAGGGGTCCAAGCTGGCATGGATCTCACAGATGGCTGTGGGGAGACAGGGCAGTCAGCAGGCAGGTGAGAAAGCCCCATGTTCCCAGGACCTCTGCTCCCGGCAGGGCTGGCCATGTTGCTGAGGACACTGTGCGGGAGGAGAGGCGGTGAAGCACCTGGGCCTCATTGCTTACAGGGGCACTGGGAACAGTTCCATTAGCCACCAGGTAACCACAGAGTGGGCGCTTTGCCTGCCCTCCCTGATCTCACAGCCCTGGGACGGAAGGACAAACAACAGCCCCTCTTACAGATGAGAAGATTGAGGCTCTGAGAGGACCTGCTCACAGCTAGAATATGTTGGACCTGGGACTGCAATGCCAGCTCCACCTCACACCAAGGTCTGGGCTCTCACCCACTGTCCCACGCTACTTACTCTGCGGGGCACTGCCCAGAAGCGAGGAGTGTGGATCAGAGGCCAGTGGCCCTCCATCCCCTTCCGAGAGTGGGAACCTTCTCTCAGGCTCCCGTATGCACTGCATAGGCATCATATAACCATCCGCCTGGGCATGCAGCAGTGCTAGTCGGCTTGGCGCCACCTCCCTGGCTTCCTTTTGATTTCCCCAACCCTCTCCTCTCCCCTGGCTGCCTCTTCCCTCTCCCCCTTCAGCACCATTTTTAAAGTTTCTTTCTCTTTTTGCCTTTTTAAAATAGAGACAGGGTCTCACTATGTTGCGCAGGCAGGTCTTGAACTCCCCAGGCTCAAGAGATTCTTCTACCTTGGCCTACGAAAGTATAGTGCTGGGATTACAGGCATGAACCACTGCACCTGGCCCCCTTTCAGCATTTTTTTTTTTTTTTTTTTGAGACAGAGACAGAGTTTCACTCTGTCACCCAGGCTGGAGCGCAGTGGCATAATCTTGGCTCACTGCAACCTCCACCTCCTGGGTTCAAGTGATTCTTGTGCCTCAGCCTCCTGAGTAGCTGAGATTACAGGTGTGCGCCACCACACCTGGCTAATTTTTATATTTTTAGTAGAAACAAGGTTTCGCAGGCTGGGCGTGGTGGCTCACGCCTACAATCCCAGCACTTTGGGAGGCCGAGGCGGGTGGATCACGAGGTCAAGAACAGCCTGGCCAACAAATCCTGTCTCTGGGCATGGTGGCGTGTGCCTATAGTCCCAGTTACTCAGGAAGCTGAGGCACCAGAATCGCATGAACCTGGAAGGCAGAGGTTGCAGTGAGCCAAGACCACACCACTGCATTCCAGCCTGAGTGACAGAGCAAGACTCCATCTTGGCGGGAAAAAAAAAAAAAACCAGGTGCTCAATGTGGCAGCAAATGAAATGCAGGCTCTGTGAGATAAGTGGGGAATTAATTTTGTTGCCATTATACAGATGAACCAGATGTAGCCTTCTAAGTCACAACGATGGTTACCATTGTGATGAGGGGCCACCTAGCATCAGCCATGTTGCTAGTGCTTCAGGTTAAGTCTCTTTTTTTTTTTTTTGAGACAGAACCTCTCTCTGTCGCCCAGGCTGGAGTGCAGTGGCGCAATTGAGGCTCACTGCAACCTCCGTCTCCTGGGTTCAAGCAATTCTCCTGCCTCAGTCTCCCGAGTAGCTGGGACCACGAGTGGGCATCACCATGCTTGGCTAATTTTTTCTGTATTTTTGGTAGAGATGGGGTTTCACCATGTTGGCCAGGCTGGTCTCGAACTCCTAATCTCAAGTGATCCGCCCGCCTCGGCCTCCCAAAGTGTT